AGGAATGCCAGGCAAGCTGCTGTCCCCAAGAGTGTGTCCTGCCCATAGGCCATCCAGCCCATGGATGGGAAGTGGGGACTCTAGGGGGCTGGTGTCCCTCTCAGGGGCAGGGCCTCAGCCAGCATGTGGCCCCCTCAGGCTTTCCCAAGGCCATCAAGAGCAGGGAGAAGCTGTCGGAGTACCTGACTGTGGTGATCTTCACCGCCTCGGCCCAGCACGCGGCGGTGAACTTCGGCCAGGTAAGCCAGGGCAGCCCGGCCTTCTGGACAGGAACCCGCTAATTCCCTTGACCTGCTCTGGCCTGGCTGAGCCTGGCCTACCCCCTTTCTCCTCCTGCTCCAGCCTCCCACCTGTCTTCCCTGCTGGCAGCCTCAGGGCCTGGAGCAGGGCTGCAGACACAGGCTGCCCGTCCAGCCAAGGGTGCCAGCTACAGGGGCTGAGGCCAGGGCCCTGCCCAGCCCGCTGGAGGGACGAGGGGCACTAGGGAGCAGGGAGGGCCCGGCGGGTACCCCCCTATACTGGCTTGGCAGGCCACATGCAGGTGGGCTGCTGGGGTGCCCACTCGTATCGGTTGCTGTCCCTGCAGTACGACTGGTGCTCCTGGATCCCCAACGCACCCCCAACCATGCGGGCCCCACCGCCCACGGCCAAGGGTGTGGTGACCATCGAGCAGATCGTGGACACACTGCCCGACCGAGGGCGCTCCTGCTGGCACCTGGGTGCAGTGTGGGCACTGAGCCAGTTTCAGGAAAACGAGGTGAGCCAGCAGGGTGAGGGACTACAGCAGTCACCCCAGGTCTCACCGTTCATTAACCTGCTCTGTGACTCAGGGCTCAGGGTGGAAGGTGGGGCCGGGAACCCTCACCTCCGAGGCCGGAGAGGCAGGAAGGCTGCAGGCGCCTTCAGGTTCTCGGCCCTGAGCCTGCACAGAGGTCGGGGTGGGGGAGCCAGGCAGGAGAGCGCCCACTCACTGTCACCGGGGGTGGCACGCCACCATCCCAGCTATTGACATGGCTCACCCATGCAGTTTCTCCCTGGTACCCAGAGGGTAGGACTAAGGGTTCCCCAGGTTCCAGACACATGTGTCGAGTCCGGTTCCTCGGCAATAGCTTGGTGCGGTAGAAATGATGGGACCGTTCCAACCAGCACAGACCTGGGGGCCTCCAGGTTGCTTCAAGCCTTTGCTAACGGGTCAGCCCTTCGCCAGACACCCTTGTACATGTGTCTGCACGTGTGTTCAGCATGACTGGAGGATACGTGCTTAGTAGAGGAATTTCTTGGTCAAAGACCACTGAGACTGAATCACCCTCCACAGACTAAATCTAAAACCCCGCCACCAACAATAGCATATGATGTCTCTCGCAGCCTTTGCATCCCTGGAACTGATTTCAGCAATCCAGTAGCTTTTAAAGAGACACGTCTGGTTTTCGTTTGCAGACACCTGTGTGAGGGTGTGAATGGGCACAGCTCCTGGACAGGGCGGCCGCCTCGCCCACTCCCTGACCCACGGGGCCTGGCTGTGACCCTCCTGGGCTCGTCCCCATGCTCTGCTCCTGGAACAAAGCTGGGCAGTGACAGTGCTGCAGAGGCTGGGCCTGAGCTGGACACCAGGGCCACGTGCCCACCTCAGCTAGGACCCCAGCAGCCCGCCGCACACCTATCACTATGGGGCCCGAGGAGCACCAGGCAGTCCTCCCCTTTGATGGGTGAAGCCCCCGCCTGGAGCCCGCCGCAGGGAAAGCAGCTGAGGGCAAAACTGCATTCCTGAGACACGCTGGGCAGGTGGCAGAGGGCAGATGGGCAAACATCCCTCCTGCCTCCCAAGGGGTGCTCCCTGGGGTGAGACAAAGCCACTGGTGTGTGTCAGCCAGCCTGTTTGTGTCTGGGCCCTCAGCTGTTCCTGGGCATGTACCCAGAGGAGCACTTCATCGAGAAGCCGGTAAAGGAGGCCATGGCGCGATTCCGCAAGAACCTCGAGGCCATCGTCAGCACGATCGCCGAGCGCAACAAGAACAAGAAGCTGCCGTACTACTACTTGTCCCCCGACCGCATTCCCAACAGCGTGGCCATCTGAGCAGGCCTGCCCTTCTCACGCCGGCCAGCTGCTCGGCCAGCCAGGCTCGGCGGGCTCCTGGCTCCTCGCTGGGCCTCCTGGCGGCCCGCTTCTTGCCCTCTGACCGAGGCCAGCAGTTACACGCGCTGACTCCAGGCGGCTGGTTCAAACCAAAGGCCACTCCCAGTCGGCCCATATTCGCAAAGCTTTGGTGTTTTCCTGTTTCTTCCTCCATCTTTAGGGAATCCCTAACTTTGCTCGAAGCATGTAAACAGGGCAGGGATCCCTCCCACACAGGGCGGGACTGCATCGCCCTGCCTTCCCCTAGCTCCTCAGCTGCACCCAGCAGCAACCGCAGGCCAGGGCCACCGATCGAGGGCTGTCCCTGTGGGAGACGTGGATGTCCATGCTCTGTTTTCTCTAGAAGTGGTCCGATTCCTCACGCATAGGCAGTGCCCAGGTAAAACCCTGCTGAAGGAGTTAAGAATTGATTGTCATAAAAATAAAGTTCATGTGAAACAGGTCTCATTCCCTGTGCTACGTTCCAGTCACCCCCAACAGCTCCCTGTCACCCCAAAAAAGTCCTAACTGCTGTGATGATTCTTTCCGGGGAAAGCCTCCGCACAGGTCCGGGAAGGTGCTTTTTCCTCCCTTCCCCAGGCAGCTCCGCTTTCTTCAGCACACATCCCACGTGCCACCACCTCTGGGAAGGACTCCCTGGCCAGAGAGCTTGTCTCTCCCCAGGGCTCTGTTCAAGCGTCAGCTGCCTCCCTTCTGTGGGGTCTGTCCCATAGGATGGGAGAGGACAAGGAACCCCCTTATTTACCCCTGCGCCCCAGGCCTGGCAAAGCAGCGGCCTCGTTTCTCTCCAGGCAAGGGCACCTCACTGACAGACTTGAGTCATCGCCTTGGGGGCCAGGGACCTTGCATTCTCCCCCAGGCCCAGTAAGCAGCACCAGCCCGAGCGTGGACATGGAGACCCATGGTCCCCTCCTACACACACGTGCCTTCAGGACAGTGTCAGCAGGGTCTCCAGTGTTTGTTGAAAGTGCTCTGGGGTGGCAAGAAAGCAGCTCCATGTCAGGATTTGCGTCTCCCATGCACAAGAGAAGGTGCACATGTGTTTCTGAAGCCATAAAGAACTTGCACTGCTATAACAAAATACTTGAGACTGAATAATTAGTAAAAGACAAAAATGTAATTCTCACAGTGGTGGAGGCTAGCAGTCTAAGGTCAAGGTACAGGAGGCTCAGAGTCTGGGGAGGGCTCAGTCTCCGCTTCCTCAAACGCGCTCTGAGGCCTCTCGTAAGGGCACTGGCCCCACCTCCCAATACTACCACCGTGGGGTTCAGTCCCAATGTGTGATTTTTGGGGAGGATGTACATTCAAACTATAGTACAACCCAAGTGGCACTTGAGGTTTCAGTTTTCCATTTATGTTCAACCAAATTAATCGCTTTCTTTAAAGTAATAAAAAAATAAAAATCAATACTCTTTGAGGGAATAACATAATTAACAGAATTCAAAATCTCTACAACATTCACAACCCCAGGACACAATACAAAGACTTAGGAAAATGGGACTTATTCCCAAGGGAAATGACAGTTCACAGACAAGTCACAAGATGACTCAAATGTTGGAATTAGCAGACAGCATTTTAACACAGCTTATATATATTTGCTCAGTAAGTTAAAGGAATTATGCTCCAATTTATGAAAAATACAGAAAACCTCAGCAAAGAACTATGCACTGGGAGAAGGAAGGGGAGCAGAAAAAGTAGCAGCAGTAGGAGAAGCCAAAAATGGAAATTCTAGAACTAAAAAGTGGCTGAATGAGCTTCACAGCAGAACAGAGAAGACATAGCAAGGAGAGGACGAATTCGAAGATAGGTCAGTAGAAATGATGCAGTCTAAAGTAGAGAGGGAATGTTCGGTCGAGCGTCTCAGAGATCTAGAAGACAGTATCAGAAACGCTAACATTAAAGGGACTTCAGAAAGTTCGTGGAAAGTGGAATTCACATATGAGTTTATTTGGGTATATATATATATATATTTTTTTTGAGAGGTTTTTTTGCTATAGGGCGTGTTCGCTCGCCACAGACAGAGAGAGACATAGAGACAGAAAGCAAGAAATCACCCCCAGGGGGGATGGTCATGCCACAATCCCTTCTCCTCCATTCTCCTCTTGGGATCTTGGGCACGCACGCACATGCACCCAGCATGAGTTCTAAGCCACCAGGTCCAGGATGCGAACTGCGGTCGACTACGTGGGAATCCAGCGACATAGCCATTACGCTAACTGCTCGTTCACGGGTATATATTTTTTAAAATCCATGCATCGTTTTTTTTTTCAGTTTGTTACAGGGTAAATGGTTTGCTCTATAGTGTGTGCATTTGCTGGAGAGAAAGAGAGAGAGAGAGAGAAGTCACCCCCAGGAGAGATGGTCACACTACAATCCCTTCTCCATTCTCCTCTCAGGGTTTCGGGATGCCTACACACACACATTCAGCATGTTTTTCAAGCTGCCAGGTCTGGGACCCAAACCATGCAGTCCACCATGTGGGATCTAGCTGCCTTAACCACAGGCCAAAGCTGGCCCCAAAATCTATAGGTAGCTTTTTCATAACGCATTTTCCACGAACTTTTGAAGGCCCTGTCCCCCATACATAGCAAAATCATGATTTTTTTCTGTAAGATATTCTAGGTTCTGAAGATTACATATGATCTTTTGCATTTTTTATACAACTTAAAAAATATAAAAACATTCCTAGCTCAAGAACTTTACGAAACAAGTCATAAGCTAGATTTGGCTGCGGGTGTCTGGCCCAATAAGAGCAGATAAAGGAATCTGAGAATTACAAGTAAGCATATGAAAAGATGCTCAACATCATCAGTCATTAAGAAAATGCAAATCAGAGGCCAGAAGGTGGTGTGGTGGTTGGGGTGCTGGACTCCCACATAGCTGACTGTGATTCGAGTCCCAGACCTGGTGGCTTGCTTTCTTACTTTCCCTTTCTCTCTCTGTCTCTCTCTGGTCAAACTAAATAATAATAAATTAAATAAAATAAATAAATATTTTTTAAAAAATAAATGCAAATTGAAAACCACAACAAAATGTAACTACACATCTGCTAGAAGGCCTAAAATGAAAATGACTGGCCAGCCGTGGAGGTGCAGTGGTGGGGCTATGTGGGATGGTGGCGGTCCATATCCAGGGGCCTCCAGGTGTGTGCAGTGTGCACACTCCTGCCCATGATCCAGCAGTTAAGGCAGTTAGATTCCCACATGGCTGACTGCAGTTCAAGTCTCAGACTCAGTGGCTTGAAAATCACGCCAGGTGTATGCACATGTGTCCCCAAAACCCCAAGAGAATGGAAGAGAAGGGACTGAGCATGGCCATCCTTCCTGGGGGGTGATTTTCTCAACTTTCCCTCTCTTGTCTCTCACCTTCTCTGGAAAGCACATGTGCCCTATGGCAAAAAAAAAAAAAAAAAAAAAAAAGTTGAACTTGGATCAGCTTTTGTGGGCTACTCTGTGTGCTATATCCAGACGTAACCTTAGACATTGAAGTACAACTGAAACAGGCCAGGTAAACCCTGTATCTTGCAGTGAATAACACACATGTTAATAAGGGCTGTAATGACTTTTAAAAACAGAGTATATATAGGGATCTTCAAAAAGTTTATGGAGGGTCTGGCTGGTGGCATGGTGGTTAAAGGCGCTGGACTCCCACATGGTCAACCATGGTTCAAGTCTTGGATCTGGTGGCTTCCTTTCTCACTTTCTGTCTCTCTGATCAAATTGGAAAATAATAATAAAGTTAAAATAATAATTTTTTTAAGGTTTATGGATACTTTGTTTTGTGGGGGGAGGGGGGACAGCACTTTAACCACTATGCCACCTGCTGGCCCCTACATGCATACTTTTAATAGCACATATGAAGGGATGTCTTTAAAACTGACCTTTCAAAATTTTTGCCCCAAAATAAACTCATACTTTAATTCTATTTTTCTAGGAATATTTTGAAGTCCCCTTGTACTGCATGACTTCATTAAGTTCCAGATCAGGCTAAAACCATTATCTGGTGAGAAAGAAATCAGAATAGAGTTTGCTTTTGAAGGGGCATGGACACAGCAGTGGACCAGAAAGGGGCATCAGAGAATTTTCAGAATTGAGATAACGTTCTGTATACTGATAGCATTTGTGGTTACTTAGGCTCTAGATACATTTGTCAAACTCATCAGGTGATACACTGAAGATTTATGCATTACGCTGTATGTGAATATTATCCAAAACAAAAAAAAACATAGAAATTTATTTATAGTTAAAGATATGCATACTAAAGTGACTGGGGTAAATTATACCCATGGTTTCTATGCATAAAAGTAAGAGTTAATAGGTGGATAGAGTGATGAATATGTGGAGATATATGGTAAAGTATACAGTGAAATGTTAACTGTAGAATTTAGGATATGTATATTCTCACAGAATAGTTGTTTAAACTTCTAAAATGTTGAAACAACTTATGAAGTCTGACCTAATGCAATAAGACAAGAAAACATATACATAACGAGAAGGAAGAAATAAAACTGCCTTTGCAAGCAGATAATATGGCTATCTACGTAGAAAACCTCAAAGAATCAACAACAAAAAAAAAACCTCTTGAAACTAGTAAGTGAATACAACAAGGTTATAGTATACAAGGTTAATATTCAAAAGTTAATCACTTTCCTATACATCAGCAATGAACAAGTGAAATCTGAAATGAAAAACAAAATACCATTTACATTAGCATGCCTAGAAGTAAATACTTGGGTGTAAATCCACTAACTGTGTACAAAATTCATATGAGGAAAACTACAAAACTCTAATGATAGAAATCAAAGAACTAAACATATGAAGAGATATTCGATATTCATGAATAGGAAGACTCAGTATTGTCAAGATACCAGTTCTTTCCATTTGATTTATAGATTCAATGCAACTCCAATAAAAATCTCACAAATTATTTTGTGGGTATTAAAGTGATTCTAAAGTTTGTACAGGAAGACAAAAGACCCACAATAGCTAATAAAACACAAGAGGAGAACAACAAATTTCTGGAATTGACACTACCTAACTTCAACACTTAGTATAAAATCTACAGTATCAAAATAGTGTAATATTGGCAAAAAAAACAATGGAACAGAATAAAGGGTCCAAAAATAAATTTTCATAAGTATACATAACTGATCTTTGACAAATAGCAATACAGTGGAGCAAAGACAGTCTTTTCAAACAATGGTGCTGTAACAAACAACTGAACATCACATGCAAAAAAGTGAATGCAGGCACAGACCTTACACCTTAAAAAAAATTACAGGGGACCAGCAGTTAGCATAATGGCTATGCCACTGGACTCCCATGTAGTAGACCGCAGTTTGAGTCCCAGAGCCGGTGGCTTAAACCCACGCCGGGCGCGTGTGCATGCGTGCCCAAGATCCCGGGAGGAGAATGGAGAAGGGATTGTGGCATGGCCAGCCCCA